ATATATATATAAATTCAACATATATGGGCCAAGTTGCAACCATTCTTTATTTCAATTGCGTGCTCTATCATAGTCCCATGTTCCAAATACTACATATATGTTAACATAATGAATAGTCTCTCTACAAATACCAAACAACGTAGATTATAATTTTGTAACAAAATTAGTATTGCACTAAACTTTTTTTCTCTGGCTTGAGAAAAGGCTAAACTTTCCATAATTGATGGTACGTATTTGTTGTGAATGAATATGAGGTAATGCGAGAATTTCACCTATAGGACTAGGATGATTTATATATGGCATCTACTAATTGTGCCAATGTATAACAAAATCCTAGCCTTTAGATTAAAAAAATACGATTGAGCGATTAATTAGGATTCTACAAAAAAAGGATATAATTAAATAGTTCATTAAAAAAATGTTTGTAATGGTATTATAGACATTTATTCAATCTAAAAAAAGAAAGTCATTGGTTCTTGGGACTTTATATTCTGACGAAATTTGCATCCATTTCGAAAATATTTATAAGGGTAATATATTTCATCAGCACACATAATAGGTTAACCGTGCACCTTTGAGTTTCTATTATCCAGTGTCGCTGCTTCCCTTTCCTTTTTCTACTAGTGGACTTTATATTCCCACGAAATTTATACCCATTTCGATTTGACATTTCGAGCCCAAAAGTTTGACTTCTATTTTTACATGCATATATATCAAACTTGTTACATACACTTTTGGACAAATCTTTTAAAGTTTCAACAGTAGATGCTGCTTAATTTATGCATTCCCTTTAAAGGTCAAACCATTTGACACATGCACGTGGATCGGAATATATGCACATCAAACGCGTTGTGGCCTTAACTAAATACAATAACCACATATATTTTAAGCCTATGCCAATGACAACTCGTCGGTAAAATGTGCCGGCAAAACCTCATTAGGGCTGAACATGGTATGATACCAGTTGATTTTTATTCAAACCGTATACCATAACAATTATATTTGGTATAAATCTTTTATTGCCACTAGTGTACCAACTATACTTGGTACCAACTTATTTGGCTACCAACAAGTTTGGTTGGTACAAATTGGTAATGATATATTACCAACTTTGTTTTAATTTTCTATTGTAACAGTTAATGACTAGTAACAATATACGGTACTTTTCTCATCTAGTAATATAAATTAGTAAATTAACTATTCTAGTTACTAAAAAATTTTAATAAGTAACTTTTTAGTTTTTGAATCGAATATTGTAATAACTATTTACTAAGTCTAATGTCTACTATCATACCTTTTAAAATCGTAAACAATAAACAATTGACATTTAAAAATATGATTTTGTTTATATATATATATATATATATATATATATATATATATATATATATATATATATATATATATATATATATATATATATAAAATAACACTTAGTCCATGTATTATTTACATTTTGGTCCCTTATATATTGAATTACTGCTTTTAGATCTTGGAACGTACTTTATTATCAAAGTAAAAGAAGGATATATTAAATACCTCTTGATCCTTAGATCATGTAATCAACATCTCTTGGAAAGGATGAAGATCCCAAAGGAGAACTCATCTAATGTAGTCAGACCCAAGACTCCAAAAGCAAACAAGGAATAAGCCCCGATTCGAGTTAGATCAAAAATTCAATAACCCTAGAGTGGGATGATAGTTTTCATCCATGGAAAGGGATGAGAGAAGGGATAATGAAATTATATAGAAAACATCATCGAGGATTTGATCCTTAACTTCCTATTTATAAGCGGCTGATTAATCCTTAAACAATTCAAATTCCTAAAGGATAATCCTTACCTTATTCAAAACCTGTCTTATACTTATGCCTTATGCTTATCATGATAAACATAAATCATCCACCTCCTTTCTCTAGATGGCTCTAAAATATTCCAATTAATCCCAATGATTTGATTAATATTCAATCTATTTAATTAATTAAAACTATATAATTAATTATTAAAATAATTACTAATTAATTTACTAATTCCTTAAAAAAGTCATAACTTATTTTCTTTATTTTCTTAATACTATTTGTGTCATGCGGCCAACCTAAAGGGACCCTGTTATTATTTAAAAATACTACCAACTAGTTAATGAACCTGAACACTATTTCCAATAGAAGCATGTGGTAGTACTTCTTTCTTCTAATTGTTGTTGTTGTTGTTGTTGTTGTTGTTGTTGTTGTTGTTGTGGTCTTTCTTCTTCTTCTTCTTCTTCTTCTTATTGACTTTCTATTTTGGCCATTTATCTGACCGAATGCCCATTTTTCAAGTCCTCTCTTGCTCCTTTTGTGACTTTAGTTTATATGCTCATCAATACATAATTCAACACACTCTCACTCACAATATTCTCCACATGCATAACATCTAGATTATGTTTTAGGACGAGAGAGGACCAATTATATTGAATCATCTTAGACGTGGTCTTGTATCAGGTTAACCATTAAACAATAGACTTTGCTTCCATTTATGGTTTATACGCAAGAATCGTCTGTGACCAACATAATACATCTTGTTGGTAACATGAATGGATGATATGACTTTGTTACAAGTAGGGCATGCTAAATAAACTTGATCACTCCATCCAGACAAACTGCTATATGCTAGGAAATCATTGATATTCCATAGAAACATCCCACACATATTGAATACAATGTTGGTTAATGCATCTCTCATTTAGAATCCTTCAACCCACAACATTTCAACCCATCCACCAAATGGCTAAAGAAAACATCAATATCCTTTGAGGGTGATCTAGGGTCAGGAATCAACAAAGTTGGCATGAAAGAAGACTCTTACATAAATATCAATGGTGGTGTTTTGTAGGTTGTCAATATAACCGAACAAATACTATAATAACTATTAAAAAGTTGTTGAATAGATTAAAGTCATCAATAACCAAACCTAGATAGACATTTCAACCCATCCACCTATCTACTCTCATTACGAATCGGACAATTTTGCATGGAATCATTCTCCTTCCAAAACAAAGCACACTCATTTTTGCAAGCATGTATGGATTGATATCCTAAACTTATCTTTCTCAACTTCTTTTTAGCTTCATAGTGTTAGACTGTAATCTTGCTCTTTGGGAAAGTAGCTCTTAATAACTCTACAAGTTGGTTAAACGAACTTTCTATCCATATATTGATTACTTTAATATGCAAGAAATTTGTCAAAAAGTTTAGGGAAGACATCTTACTACAATAAAGGTATAACTCGGTATTGAGCTCCTCCAACAATGAATCAAATTCCAAGTCTACACCTTATCCCCCCTCTTTTATTTTTTCTTCATTTGTGTTTGTTTTGCAATGACATCATTAATTACATAAAAAATCTAATTAGTTGTTGGAGTGTTTATTCTTGGAGTCAAAATTTAGCATACATCTGAAGCAATACTTTTCTCACTGTGATGATCCCATGTAGTATACAATTCTAGAAACCCACAATCATGTATGTTGGCATAAACCACCTATCTCTCTTATCCAACCCTTATCGATGTCGTTAATGTTTCATTATTAAAAATTACATTGTATACATAGTGAATATGTGACTACTTTGTTTCTATTTAGTTCATAAGAAGTTAAATTGTACTTGTTCTATAAAACATAACATAGAGTTTAAGGTTTACTCTACTAGAAGTAAAAAATTGGACGAAATAGATAGAGTGTTCACAAGTATATAAAGAAATATATCCTCGGGAAGTAAAATTTGGATATAATGAAATATATTCTCGAGAAGTAAAAATTGGATATAATTGATAGAGTATTCACAAGGGTAGGCTTCTAAACACACGTTTTGAATACCTTACTTCATATGTAAATGCATATTGCATGATTGTTTGTTTAGGAAAAATTCAGAAACATTTCCCCTTAGCTCCCATGTATATATAAAAATATATACCCAAGGAGCATGGAGAAAATGACAATCGAATATTTCTTATACAAACAATCATGCAATATGCATTTACATCCTAAATGAGATAGAATATTCAAAAAACAATTCCAAAACAGGAACACCCCGAAATTAATTTCTAAATCAATTTCATACGAATATTTTTAGGCTCTTGATCATTATAAAGAAGTGATTTAAACTAAAAATGAGTTTTCATACTGTTGTTAACTATAACATCATACTCTTGTTTATTTCTATTATAGCATAATACTTTTTATATTATATTACATAATATTATGGTTTAAATAATGCACCATCCAATTCTATTTTCTTATTAATTTCATCTTTTTGTTAATTATAGTCATACCTTTGCGGGTATGTTTTCTTTAATAGCAACATACGTTTTTAGTCTGTTTATTAAATCATTATATTTTCACTTCTTTTTTGTTATTAGTTTTTTTATATTCCTCTTTGTTATTAAATGTACTACTATTTAAAATAACAAATACAATATGGAGCATACAAACAAAAGAGGGACAAAGAACATTCTAATTCCACACAAATTCTTGCAATTTTAGACGGTTTCAAACTTACTTACACAAAAACATTCTAATTCCAATTTCATATTGATTCATACAAATTTAGACAATTACAAGTTTTATACAAATTATAGAATCAAACAACCAACAACTACACATATTAATTACTTTCAAACACAAAAATTATATATCTGATTATACACCAACAAATTAACATGTTTCAAACACACATCAATAACTAAACTAAAGCATGAATATGAGTTTGAGCATTATTTGAAGCATAATTTCGTTGTTGGCAGATTCTAAATACATAAAATCACACCAAAACAACCACTCAACATCTACAATTAACCTAATCAAAGACAAAAGTAAAACAAAAGCTAGAAACCTAACATGTTCTTATTGTTGTGGTGCCATTAATCTGGTGGTTGGCCGTAGATGGTAGTCCTACGGTGGAGGCTGGTGGTCACCGTAAAAATCCCCAAATCAAAAAAATTGAGAAATCTTAAAAACATATTCCATCTTACCTACAACTCCTACTATGGTGGCCAAAAGTAGGTGGTTGCTGGAATTCGTTGTCGTCACCGGTGGTCCTCCGGTGACTTCCTTACCGGGAAACAAAACCATAAGGAGTGAAATCAGAAAGCCAACATAAAAAAGAGTGAAATCGATCGGAAGTTACTTGAGGTCGGCAATGAAGGGAAGCGGTTGGAGGTGCCATCGGGAATGAATCGCCAATCGTCGAGAGGGAATTTGAGTTTGGGTGTGGCGCTGCAAATGAGGGTCGATTGATCCGTTTCTTAGAGATAATATCCTATGTCGACGACATGTCGTCGGTATAGGGTTAAAGTAAACAACATAGTCTCCAACTTTTTGTAAATAAAACAGATAAATAAACATATATATAGAGGGCATGCATGCCCTCTATATCGACGATGACAAACGACATGTCGTTGGGATAACTTTCTACAGACGACATCGTTTTTCTTTTTCTTCAACATGAATTATAAATAAATAAAAATATATTTTTGTAACCTACACTGACGATATGTCGTTGAGATAGCGTTTCATAAACGACATTGTTTATCTTTTTCTTGGACATGAATTATAAATATATAGAAATATATTTTCGTAACTTATGCCGATTACATGTTGTCGGGATAAGTTTTTAGAAAACCGCGTAAACCCTTTGTTTTGTTTCCTGCCTAAGCTATGGCGACGACAAGCCATCGCATAGATACCATGGTCAAAAAAATATTATCAACTCTATACTGACGACATATAGCTTAATTTATAGCAACATGATTATATTCTTGTAATGGCCATGCATGCATCTACAATAAGTATATGTCGTTAAAAAAGTACAGTAACTAGATATCCAGTTGTCTTAACTCGCTAGTTGATCTAATGCACTATTTAGATTGATTGTTCTGACTTCCTATTGCTTTATATGCCCTATTTTTGCCTGAAGTCATTCAGCTTATAGTTAAGCACCGTAAGGCAGTTCCATCGGTAAATGCTATATATTAATTAATAAGAAAAGTTGACGTACTGCCCTTTATGGAACTCCTGTACCAATTACTTTGCATTTGAATTCAAAGATACTTTTGAAAGAAATTATTTTCTGTATACTTATTGGTTCTGTGGTTTTTTCTCCATCATATTCCATGAGTTGCGTGATTGTAAAATAACCAAACAAGGCGTTAATTGGTTCCACTTCAACTCGGATGCGGAAAGCCGTTCTTGGTAACCAATTAACCAAATATCAAATTGTCATGCTAAAACAACTACTAGAAATTGAAATATATATAGAATACGGCTGACATCGAGAATAGAATATGGAACGTGGACTGTGTTAGTTCCTATATATACGATCAACACACACATAACATAAATGCAAAAAGATAAAATAAAATGCAAAAAGATAAAATAAAGAACACACAAGAATTACGTGCTTCACACAACCATGCATCAATTGCATATATTAATGAGGAAAAGGAATTTAAATATACATTCAAGGACAAGAATAATCAAATCAATAAAAATACATTGTTATTATTTGTTCAACATGCAGAAATCCACCATCATCAAATAAAAACGAGATCAACCATACGACCTCTGGTATCCTGTAATTATGTTTTCCCCCATTAGTTCTCCGAACACGTAAGGCTTCAACACTTTTGGCATCCACGTTACATGCAAAAAAAAGTTAAAACTAATTTTCCAAAGTAGAAGGTTATAATAGGAAAAATATATAAACAAATCAACAAAAAGTACATTGTTAGTTCTTTCACATTCCATTTGTAACAATCTAATGACAGGTTTCTGATTCTACTGAGGAAGAGATGACCTAACATGAGCAAGAAGAGTCTGTCAAGTTAGCCATGGAGTGACTGCCTAATTAATGAACCAAATAAGGTGTTACTTCCAACATCTATTTGAGGTGTTTTTAGGCAAGTCATCCTTGGCTACCAAACAAGAGTACTCTTCTCTCCATGTAAGAACCTCTCTTCATATCCTCTTATCAGCTTTGATGTGTATTAATTGTTTAAGTAATATTGGCTATTTATAGCCATTGATAATTTAATGTCAAATGAAACGACATAATTCTTTTTCTGTTCTTCTTTTCTTCTTTTCAACTTTCTACCGTATAGACCATCCTTTCGGAGAATATATCCACCTGCATGCTAACCCAAATGAACCCTATTCTCTATATCTATCTGAGCAAAGAGGATAAAAACGACCAGTAAAAGGAATAAAGTTTGTTCAATCAACGGCCAAAATCTTGAATGGGGAGTTGACTACTTGACTTCAACTGTCTGATGCTTCCTTGAAAGATGAACTGAGACATCCAATAGGGGCCCACTTAGTTGATTATCTCACTGATGCCTTGTTAAATCGTTGACTTAATGAAGCTCATGAACATATTCTTTTGTCCGCCAGGACCGCATGTTGATCTCGTTAATGTCTGTGCTGCTAAATTTTTTTTTTTTTTTTTTTTTTTTTTGGGGGGGGGGGGGAGGGGGGGAACGGCATGCCACCTTCATAGTTTGTTATATAACTAGCACTACTAGTGTATTGCATTTATGTTCTATTTATTATTATGGTTTGTTACATTAGTAGTGCCTGTCACTATTTTTCCAATCCATTTTAGTACTCCCAAATGGTCATAGATATATATATATATATATATATATATATATATATATATATATATATATATATATATATATATATATATATATATATATATATATATATATATATATATATCCTTATGAAGTTTAAAGAATACATGTGAAGCATAAGCATTTGATGTTAATATTTCTGGCTCAGATTTTGACTCTTGGTAGCTAAATTTGAAGTTCAGAAGTATTTGATATTAATATCTAGTCGCCAACCACTACAAGAATTCCATCCTGTGCAGACGACACCTATCCAGACGACAGATGTCGTCGGCAAAAGTCACCCTCTACCGACAACATGTCGTCGGTACAAAGGAAAAAAATGTTGACCATTAAACTTTGACCAGAAGGGCTATACCGACGATATGTCGTCGGTACAGACTCGGCGGGAAAAGATGAAAAATTGACGGTATATCGAAAAACTTTACAGACGACTTGTCGTCTGGAAAATGTTCTAAAAAAATATTTTCCATTTATTTTATTTCCTTGTAGCAGAAATCTGAGACGATGTCGTTTTGTACGACCTATTCAGACGACTTGTCGTCGGTATAGGTTGATAAAAATTTAATTTCCCTTTATTTTTAATCCGTGTCGCAGAACATGAGAACGATGTCGTTTTAGGCGATCTATTCCGACGACTTATCGTCGGTATAGGTTGATTAAAATTTAATTTCCCTTTATTTTTAATCCGTGTTGTAGAACATGGAAACGATGTCGTTTTTCGAGGCAATACCGACGACATGTCATCTGAAAAAGGGGGCCCCGATCCGCGTGAAATCTTTTTTTTATTTTATTTTATTTTTTAATGAACTAAAGCTATACGACGGCGTTTTGGTCGACCTATACCGACGACATGTCGTCGGTATAGGGTTTCCTTGATAACAAAACCCAGAATCAGCTTTCATTTTGCAGTCGCCTCACAATTTTCCTCTCACACTTGCAGTCGGTGATCTCATGGGCTAGAAGCTGATTCCGAGTTCATCTTCCACCAAGGTAAGGGTTTTGTTGCTTGATTGCTTCTTAATTTCTAAATGTTTGGTCCTTTATTTGTAATAATATGGAGCCCTAAATCACAGCCCCATTTCTCTCTATTGATTGGGAAGAAGATTCACCACCCATAGAAAAGGAATTCCGTTTTTTGACCACATTTTGAGGTTAGTTTATTGATTTTTTAATTTTTTTTCTTAAACTATACCATACCACAAAGACGATGCAGTGATTTTTTTTTCATAGACCATGATATGTATATGCAACATAATAACCACTTTGAATTGCATTGTACGAATGATTTTAAATGGTGATAATTTTAGTGGATTAGATGTGCTTCAAGGGATAGTTATATCTAAATGTTATATATATATATATATATATATATATATATATATATATATATATATATATATATATATATATATATATATATAAAACATAAGGATCACTTTGAATTGCATTGATATGAATGGTTTTAAATGATGATAATTTTAGTGCATTAGATGTACTTCAAGGGTGCATTAGATAATAATTTTAGTGCATTAGTGTGATAAGAACTCAATCACATTCATTAATTTGTTTCCCAATAGTGTATTAGATGATAATTTTAGTGCATTAGTATGATAAGAACCCAATCACACTCATTAATTTAGTTTCCCAATAGTGCCAAAAAATCTTAAACTAGATAGACATACAATTTGTGAAAACACTAACAAAGAGCATGCAACATGTCGTCGGTATAGCTTTCCAACTGTAAAAACGGTTTTCATTTTTCAAAACGACAAATCATCTCTATAGCTCCCACTTATCCAAACGACATATCGTCTCTATAGCGTGACACTTTTACCGACGACAAGTCGTCTCTATAGGGTGAGAATAAAATTTTTTCTAATTTTCTCGAAAATTAATCCCGACGACCCTTTCCAGACGACTTGTCGTCTGGAAAGAGTATGCTATACTGACGACATTTTCGACTTTTAGCGATGGAGCTATACCGACGACTTTTTACAGACTAAATGTCGTCTCTATAGGCTTTACCGACGACAAGTTGTCTGGACAGAGCTCAAAATTGTCGTCTGCATAGTATACGATCCTTGTAGTGAACCATATGGAACAAACTTGTATGTAAATTTGGTAACTTTCCGTCGGAGTATTCTATCATTATTTAAGTTTCGAAACTAAAAGACTAATTAATCAAATTGCAAAGATTCCAATTTTCTTCAAATTAAATATTTTATAAATAAATAATTGTAAATCCTCAATCTTTTTCTATAAAGTCCCTCCAACTTAAACCTCAATAAAAATTAAATGAAATATTTAACATCTTAAGACTAATTTTATTGAATGTCTTCTCAATGACAACCCTAAGGTATGGACGACTCTCCGTGTACCATGAGCACTGCTAACCATCCGGTCTCCATGATTAATATAAGGATTAACATATATTGGTGATGTTAGCGTTATTTGTTTACTTCAAGGAACAGAATTTGCTATCATAAATTATAATTTAGGTAAAGCCAACACCATTGTTGTTGACTATCGAACTGAATGATGCGTGCAATAAGCTACACCTAATTTTATATTTATAACCTAACTAACTTAACTAACTAAATTGCACCTAGGCAGTGTACCTAGTCGAATTATAAAATAGTCTGGTAAGTCGGGTGTCGATCACAGAAAACGGTTTGACTTATTAATTTATCTGCTACTAAATTAACCTAGTTATTAGCAAAGACATGAAATTTATCTAATTTTGCAAGTTTAGATGAACTTAATTCTTTAGCACAAACTCAATCAATAAGCAAACATTTCTGTTAGTTCGAATTCACTTTCACTCAATGGGTTATAAATTAGCTATGACTATTACTGTTGGTTACCAATTAAGACAATATTAGCAATTTAGTTATAAATCTACTAACATTAATCAATTCATGTAAATCTGTGTACGGTTAGACAATAGTTAACACATAATTGATTATTAAATGAAATTAGAGCTATGTAAGATTGATTTGATAAATACTCATTATGGTCATAATCATGAGTTTTCTAGGACAACTTAATTTTAATAATTTAATTACTTAATTAAGATTGGTTTGATCTTAGCTCTAATAAACTAGTGTTCACTGAATTATTAGGTATTCAAATTCATATAACTTCATATTCACTAACTACATAGAATAAGAATTTAAAGCAATCAATTATCAAACAAAAATGCTTGGTATGATCAATCCAACACAAGTCTTTACCAACTAGTAAATCAAAGCTAAAGTAAATACACCATGAGTTCCAGCTCTATATAGTTAACAGAAGCAGCTAGATTTAGCTGGACATCCTAGCAACTAAGCAAACAAAATCCATAATAAAAAACGTGTTTAAATGTACCAAACTATGAATCAAATTATGAACTTCTTCTCCATTGGTGTTGAAAGCCAATTCCAAACTTTTTCTTCTTTTGAAAGTCGTCTTTAGGAACCCTCCAAGGCAGAAAAAGTCCTTTTAATCGTAATTATCTTGGGTCTATATAATTTTCTCAAAATTTGAGTTTCACGTCGTGACTTAGGAGGAATCCTTATCGGGCAAGGATTTTACTTCGCAAACACTTATCTTCCAGAATACCCATGCCAAATCGTGGCCTTCTATTTCACGTCGTGATTTGAGCTGAATTCGTGAGTTTCTTCTACTTTTGTACTCAAAGTCTCCAAAGTTCAATGTTTTGTCATTTTTGGTCCCTTTCTTCGAAAATGCTTCAATTTGGCTGCAAAATATAATTTCAGCTTATAAGTACCACTATTCTATGCAAATAACCAAATTATTAGTAAAAATGTGACTAAATATTAACTAAAATATGTAAATATGGCAATATCAAAATACCCCGCACTTTTGCTTTGCTTGCCCTCCAGCAAATTTATCTATTTTTAATTCAAACCTTCATCACCAACATCACATAGAACGATCCAACTCAAGCTCAATCATTATGCCAAGAACTCAACGTATGCATTTGTGTGTAAATTTTTCCTAAATACCCCGCTTAATTCTAAATACTCACAATCCTCATAAACACGCACCCACTTCTTTTGAACAATGCTCATTTTATGCATCCCTCCGAATGCATCTGCAGAAAACTTCCTAACCTCAAGGTATTTTTGTAAAGGTACCCAAGCATAAATAAACTAGAGAATTACAAATTTAAGATACCACAATGAAGGTTCTTGAATTCTTTACTTTCTTTGATATTAACTCTTTTATTTCTTCAAATTCACCACCTTTTTGTGTGATTTATGGTATCTTTAACTTTTATTTTTCAGAATTTTTGATCTTTGATCTTCAAACTTTGATATTTCATAGTTCCAAAAAT